TTAGATTACGCAAGGGAACCAAGCGAGGTCGTTCGTGGTCTCGGCCTTTCCCTGCGATCGGGTGGTTCGAGAGTGGTGCCTGGCTGGGCGGACCCGCTTTCCCAGGCTTCCCACCTTTCCTTCCATCCTCTTCGTCCTTCTTCTTCCTGTCGACGTCCTCTGCTTCGGCATAGCGGCTAGCCGTCCTTATCAGATCTTCGTAAGAGCGGGGGTGGTGGCGTTCAACTGCTTGTGGAAATACCCTGATCTTAAGGCATGGATAAATATCGGGATCGCCTCCTTGGAGTCGAAGTCGTAGACATTATTGACTTCCTTTTTCCATTTTATCAGGAAGTCTTTGAGGCTCTCGCCTCTATCTTGCTTCACTACACATAGGTGAGAGAAGGGTTTCTTACGCTGTATGCTACCGGAGAAGTATGTCAGGAAGCTCTTGGACAACTCCCCAAAGTTTTGGATCAACCCATCAGGGATGGTGTTGAACCAGTCTTGGGCCGCTCCATCCAGGGTGGACAAGAACGCTCGGCACATGATGGCGTCCCCTGCCCCGATCATTACCATAGCAGTCTTGTACCTCGTCATGTGGACGCGTGGGTCAGTGACCCCCGTGTACTCCTTAATGGCGGGCAACCTAAAGTCCCTCGACAAAGGTATGTCCATGATGCTTGGGGAGAATGGTGCTGCCATCCGTACCTCGGGTTCCGGCGACTGCTCCCGTGCCTCCACCCTTCTTGCTAACTCCTCGATTCTTCTCTGCAGCCTCTCGACCAGGGCCGACTCATCAGGGTGCCGGCGCGGGGCCGGTTGCCGCTCCTCCAAGTGTCGGTGTGGAACCCGCTCATCAACGCGTCGCTTCCCCGCCGAGTGCCGTCACGGAGCCGGCTCTTCGACGCGTCGCTCCTTCAAGTGTCGACGTAAGGCCGACTCATCAACGTGTTGGCGTGGGGTCGGCTCCCGAGACTCACCCACCTCCTCTGTGGGTGATATCTCGGCTTCTCTGTTTTCGTGTTGGCGAGGACCTCTGGTAGAGGATCCCTCGGCCTGTGATCCTAATCTTTGCCGCACGGGCGCCATTTGTCCCAATCGTTCTGGTGCAGATTGGGAAGGGCCTGGTTGTCATCTGGCCGGTCCACTTCTTTGGGTCTCCACCCTTATTTCCTGGGGCTGCGGCGGGGGCACTTGGCCTTGTAGTCCCACGGCCACTTGGTTTAGTGCCGCCGCCACCGCTTGCTGGATGGTCGCCTGGAGGTTCACGACTTGGTTCGCCACTCCATTGTGGAGCTGGTCTCGGAGGTCCCCTCCATTGTTGAGTTGGTCTCGAAGGTTTCCTCCATTGTTGAGTTGGTCTCGAAGGTCCCCGGGTCTCCCGTTGTTGAGCTGTTCTCGGAGGTCCCCTCCGTGATTGTTGGTGAGTTGGTCTCGGAGGTCACCTGAGGCATTGCCATTGTTCACGTTGCGGGAATCGTGGGAGCTGCGGGACACCATTCTTTCAAGCTTGCCGTTGAAAGAGGAATGAGTTGTGTGTGTCGTAGCCTGCTTGAGTATTGGACTCAGGCTCTCAATGAAAGCACCAATGACGGTAATAATGTTACCGGAAATATAATATTAGAATGACGTTACGTGAAAGAGAGAGTAACAATAGTTGTATTGCCTTTGTCTCAGTATAGAAAGTACAGTGTGTCCTCCCCTCTTGCTAGCTAAGGGGAGTTTTATTTATGCTAAGTCCTAACGGTAACAACATGAAGAATCATGAATGAGGCGCTCACCTTTAATTCTCTCCCTTCAATGCAATGAATGGCCATAATGTTTCCACCCGTTGGTGTTCTGCCCGTTGGAGTTCTGCCTGTTGGAATTCCACACGATGTCGGGTTAAATATGGTGTCGGGTCAGGTGCTGCTTATGATCCGGGTCGAGTGCCAGCACCATTATCCTGTCACAATTATCATTTTTTACAATAATGTTTTTAATACATTTGATTAGCTAGTTAGCAACTTAGCCCCGAAACAAAACAAAGATATAAATGTTACTGTTTTCAATGGTTTGGTCCTTAATTCATGGTTTATGAAACAATACCAAAGTAAGGAATTGTAGACCGGATTTCTTTTAACCATTTGTTTTTTCAATTGATTCAGCAAAGACACTCCATTTTTTTTTATTACTGTACTCGGTAATATTATATAAAAGATCCTAACATATTTTTTTAAAAAAAAATGGTAAGTGATGAGTTGGATACCGGCTATTTAGTATTCGGAAAAGCTTGAGTGATCGGTCTAAATAGTTTAAGATGTGGGGACATATTTTCTCATTTATGAGAAGTACATCGGGAAGATCATAAACTAATTTTTTGAGATTATTTTTTGTATTATTTTAAATATTGTTTTTAATTTTTATGTTTGAGAATATCAACTTGCAATAATATACTCTTTATTCAGAGTGATTTACTTTTCATATCCCGTATAATCCTTAATTGGTCTTTTTCTCTAAAAGCACTAACATTACCAATTTTTTCGGGTCCTTTCTAAGTTTTTTAAATTTGCTTCCTATTGATTGTGTTCACTAGGCATTAATTATTTTAACGCTTAAATCAACAATAAGGGCAATTTATATCCTACACCACCGCACGGGTTGCATTGTGCGCCCGGATGCAAAACGACGTCATTTCAGTTTTGTTTTTTTTTTTTTTTTTTTTTGAAATTTCGCTACCCAATGTTTGGCAGCTAATTGTCCTTAAAAAAAATTCATGTTCAAAAATGTACATAATGTTATACTAGAATACACATAATTGTATAAATGAATGTACATAATTATATAACAAAATACACATACTCTTTTTTAAAAGATAATACACATAATCTAACATAATACATAATAAACATAAACTTTTAACATAATACACATCAACTCTTAACATAATACACAAAAATTTCCTGATTCGAATGTACATAATTGTATAAAAAAACGTACATAATTGTATAAAAACTGTACATAATAAAAAATATACATAATTGTATAAACAAATATACATAATCATGTCAACTTCCTACCGCGCCTCTCAAAACGACGTCGTTTTGGAGGCGCAGGGCGTACAGTGCACTGTGCGGCGTGGTAGCAGCGACGGGCGAAGAGGGAGTGGCAGCTTTGACACGAGGAAGATGCCGTGTTTGCTCCGGCTGGTGCAGCGGACGGTGGGGAGCCACCGGATACGGAGCAGTCATGGGGAGTTGTAGGCCGGTTCCTAACAACGAAGATCATAAAAACGGAGTATATGCGACAGGTAATGGCATCCGTTTGGCAACCGGTAAGGGGAGTTCAGGTCTCGGAAATTCAACCGAACTTGTTTCTCTTTATCTTTTACCATGAGACGGATGTGGAGTATGTTTTGGATGAGGGTCCGTGGTCGTTCAATAACCATTCACTGATTTGCAAAAGGGTTCCGGATGGGGTGTTACCGATTGATGTGGTGTTGGACACGATTGATCTTTGGGTACAGGTGCATGATCTACCATTGGGCTATACGGGAGTACCGATTCTTGAGCAGATTGGAAATTTCATTGGTACTTTTGTGAAGTTGGACGACAGATTTATTGGGGCTCCTTGGCTAAAATATTTTCGGATTAGGGTTTCAATCCCGGTGGATAAACCGATTAAAAGAAGAATGAAATTGTTGAAACGAGACAAGACAACATGCTGGGTTAATTTCAGGTATGAGAGGCTGCACACGTTTTGTTTTTGTTGTGGTATGCTGGGGCATTCGTATACGTTCTGTTTGAAAGCTCGGGAAGCAAGAATACCGGTGGAACAATATCCGTACTCTGCGGATTTACGGGTAGGAGGGAATAAGGGGCCACGAGAGGTGGGTGGTCCTTGGTTAATCCCGCTCGGCGGCAAGCCGAAGGGACTTCCGGCGTCGGGTTATCCGACACGGCACCGCACGACGGAGGGGGATCCGAGGGATGAGGCGGAGAGGAGGGAGGGTGAGGATGTGGTGACTGTGGTGGCTAAGCGCCGCCGGGAGCAGGAGGGGGATAGTGCTGATGTGACAATGTTGGACAGCTCAAAAAACTTGTTTATGGCGAGTTCTGGATCACAGACCCGCCCAAGCCAATGAGTACGCTGAGTTGGAACTGCCGTGGCTTGGGTAATCCACGGACAGTTCGGGAGGTAGTGGACATGGTGTCCCGTAAGCAACCCGATTTTGTATTTCTTATGGAAACTAAAGTGGCAAGAGATCATGCGGAGCGACTTCGTGTTACGATGGGGTTTGAAGGATTGTTCTATGTTGATAATGATGGCTTAAGTGGTGGATTAGCGTTATTGTGGAAGAAGAATAGTACGGCAAGATTACTTAGTTACTCGAAGAACTATGTTGATATTGAAGTAACTATGGCAGGTTATCCACACCGGAGGATGACATGTTATTATGGCTTCTCACAACGTAATCGACGTGCCGAGTCTTGGGACTTGTTGAGGACGCTTGCGGCGAAATCGGATCTTCCTTGGATTGTGGTGGGGGATTTTAATGACTTACTATATCAGTACGAGAAGAGGGGGGGAAACCCGCATCCGAATAGCCTTTTACGAGGATTTGGGGAAACACTGGAGGATTGTGGTCTGGCACAACTGCCGATGGTGGGGTACCCATATACCTGGGAGAAGGGGAAAGGAACTGCGAATTGGATAGAGGAAAGACTTGACAAGGTTCTGGTGATGAATGAGTGGCGTAACATGGTTCCCTATGCTAAGGTTACGAATTTGAGAACCAGGAAATCAGATCATTCGGCTATTTTCTGTGGAATTCATGAGGGAGTAGAGGCGAATGGAGGTAGGAGGAGGGGGTTTCGCTTTGAGATGGCCTGGTTGTATGATGATGGATGTAGGGGGTGGTGGAGCAGGCATGGCACGAGGGAAGGGGGCAGGGATTGCAAGATTGTATTCAGTACTGTGGAAACCGGTTAACACGCTGGGGTGGGGATCGGTTCCATGAGTATGGGAAACAAATTTTAATGTTGGAAAGGGACCAGGAACGGTTGAGGGGTCGTACTGACGCGGCCTCACTTGCTGAATTCCAGCGCATTGAGGAACTTTTAAGCAGAACAGAAGCCCAGGAGGATGCATATTGGAGGCAGAGAGCCAAGCAGCACTGGCTCAAGGAGGCTGACACCAATACGAAATTTTTTCACAGGTATGCCTCGCACCGAAAGAAAAAGAATACTATATCTAAGTTAATGAATGACAATGGGGATTGGTTGGAAGGGGAACTTATGAGGAAAAATATTCTGGATTATTTCAATAATATTTTCACCTCTGGGAATCCGGGGGCAGGGGAGGAGTTTTTTGGGAAAGTAGAGCAGCAGGTATCACAGGCACAGAATGACTCCTTATTACAGCCCTTCACTGTGGAGGAGGTAAAAGATGCATTATTTGCAATGTATCCTGATAAGGCTCCGGGCCCGGATGGAATGAATCCGAGTTTTTATCAGCATTTTTGGGATGTAGTGGGAGGGGATGTGGCGAGTTTTGTGATTAATTGTCTTGAATCGGGTGAACTTCCGCCTGATTTAAACAATACGGATATTGTGCTGATCCCAAAGAAGAATAATCCGGAGTTGGTAACAGACCTGCGCCCTATAGCTCTTAGTAATGTGGTCTATAGAATAATTGCGAAGATGATGTCTAATAGAATGAAACCATTGATGGATGGGATAATATCTGAGTCACAGAGTGCTTTTATTCCGGACAGGTTGATAACAGATAACATTTTGCTAGCCGCAGAGGTAGGCCATTTTCTGAATAGAAAACAGTGTGGATTAGGGGGATGGGGTGCACTTAAGCTAGATATGGCAAAAGCTTATGACCGGATGGAGTGGCCCTATCTTCGTAACATGATGACGGTGCTAGGTTTTCATAATAACTGGGTGGATTTGGTCATGAAATGTGTAACTACGGTTTCCTACAGTATCCTGGTGAATGGCTCTAGGAGTGATCCAATTATACCTACTCGTGGTCTCAGACAGGGAGATCCGTTATCCCCATACTTATTTATTATCTGTGCAGAGGGTCTTTCTCTTATGTTGCAACAGGCTAACAGGGAGGGACTGATTCATGGATGTAGGGTGGCAAGAGGTGCCCCCCAGGTCTCTCAGTTATTCTTTGCGGATGATAGTCTACTATTTTTCAAAGCTAATGAGGAGGAGGCGAATGGGGTAAAGAAATGTCTGTCAGAATATGAAAGCCTATCTGGGCAGGTTGTCAACTACCACAAGTCAAATATTTGCTATAGCAAAAATACAAGGATTATTGACAGGGATAATGTGGCTCAGGTTTTGGGGGTAGCACAGGCTCCAAATTTTGGCAAATATTTGGGCCTACCTTCTTTCATGGGAAGGAATAAGAAGGCAGCTTTTGCCTATATTGAGGATAAAATACGCCAAAGGATTGGGTCTTGGAATAAAAGATTACTATCCCAAGCAGGTAAAGAGATACTATTGAAAAGTGTAGCACAATCTATGCCTACCTTCTCAATGAGTGTTTTTTTGCTACCTATATTAGTATGTACGGCAATTGAGAGGACCATGAATAGATATTGGTGGGACTCTGGAATTGATAGACGGATACACTGGAAGGCTTGGGATAAATTGTGTGTCCCAAAAAAGTATGGTGGGTTGGGATTTAAGGATTTACGTGCATTTAATCTGGCAATGTTGGGGAAGCAGGCATGGCGAATGCTCACTAAACCTGACTCTTTAGTGACTCGTGTCTATAAAGCCCGGTATTTCCCTACGGGAACATTTTTTGATGCACAGGTAGGAAATAACCCCAGTTTTTGTTGGCGGAGCATTATGGCAGCAAAGAGTATAATTTGTAGTGGGGTGAGACGAAGAATAGGAAATGGGGAATCTACGTTTATATGGACCCACCCCTGGTTGCAAGATGAACAGGACCCTATGATACAAACGGAAATGCCAGTACAATTACAAGGGGCCAGAGTAATGGGGTTAATTGACCAGCAAACAGGAACATGGGATAATGATTTTCTAACAGATTTATTCCAACCTGAAGATGTAGGAAGAATTATGAGAATACCTGTCTCCCTGGACTATAGTGATACATGGTATTGGCATGGAGACCCAAAAGGTCTATATTCTGTGAAGAGTGGATACAGGCGTATAGTGGGGGACTATGAGAGTCAAGGGGGAGATTTTGTGAATTGGCTAGCCTTGTGGCGACTCAAAATACCCCCAAAATGGAGAATGTTTCTGTGGAGAGCCATTTGTGATATATTGCCCACTACTACAAACTTGCTTATAAAGAGGGTTGATGTGAGCCCTTATTGTGCCATGTGTGGGATATCACAAGAAGATACAATGCATGCTTTAGTCTTGTGTGATTATGCAAGGACCATTTGGGAACAATCCAACCTTACAATCCCCAACATTGTCACGAATATTTTTCATGTTTGGTTTGAGGAACTTCAAAATGTTTTAGATTCTGATGGAATGTTAATATGCAGCATCGATTCTATACAACATTTGGAGAGCACGAAGTCGAGCGGTATGGGAGGCATGCCTGCCACGGCCAAACTCGCTACTCCGAGCCGCCGTGACTGCCAAAGATGCATGGCTCCTAGCACGCCCCATCCGTCCGCCAAGAGCACCGCCCGCGCTCGCCACTGCCATAAGCCACGCTGCCGAGAGTGCTGCCGACGGGGGGACCACTTTGATTGCCGAACATTATGTGCCAAATTTGAGAAGATGTCGGGTCGACGCAGGGTATTTACACGACACGGGGAAGGCCACTGTAGGGGCTGTTTTGTTCGATGTAAATGGAGGATATATTGCGGCCTTCAATGCACCGTTACCAACTTGTGTCTCACCTCTTATGGCCGAAGCTTTGGCATGCAAAGAGGCTTTATCATGGTTGAAGGAAAGAGGGGAGCAGAATATTGAGTTATACACAGATTGCTTGACATTGCAACGCTATCTTACAACACCAACCGCCGCGTTTCGCTCCTATGTGGGCTATGCTATTGACGGCTGCAGGCAAATTGCCACTTTATTTCAGTATTGTTCATTTAGATTTATTGCTAGATCAGATAATTATTTAGCTCATGCATTAGCTACTTCGGCTTATCAGCAACTTGCTGCTATGTACTGGGATATCCACCCACCAGACATTATTTCAACCTTTTTCTAATGAAGCACCCATATAATTTTCAAAAAAAATATAAAAATATACTTTTGAAAAATAAAATAGCTATATATTATATAATCATATAAAAAATGTGTTCAATTAGAGTTTAAATTTATACATATAAAATTTAAAATTTACTTTCCAAATGTAATTATCTTAGTTATTATTCGTATTGTGAAAATTATAATATAGATGAAATACAATTAAGAATAAATCAATGTAATTATGTAACTTCTCTCTATATAAGTTTATTTGAATATGCACATAATTAGAGATTATATTAACCATACAAAATTATAATTTTAATATTAATTTTAATTTTAATTGTAATTTTGTATTCTATAAAAATAATAAATACTCGACCAATGGAAGCTCAAAAACATTATTATATTAAATAATTTAAAATATTTTAGATTTTTTATTTTTTATTTATATTTATAATAACATAATTTTTTTCCGTGCATCGCGCGGGTGAATTACTAGTTTAATATTATAATACTTATATGTGAAATGTTACTTATGAAATAAATTGTAATACTTATCGTAGAAATTTTAATATTAAGTTAAATTAAAAATAAATCGTTGCTTAAGATAGATATTATAATACATGTGAAATTGTGTTACTATTTAAGGTATAATTGATTGTTATTAATGACAAATATTGTAATACTTATAATTAAAATTGTGAGATTTACACACTTAATTGTCTACAACCTGATTCGTCTTACCGATAAAGATATGTGAGAGAACTTTACACAAATTTTTGCCTTAAAATTTTGTAGAAAATGCCATAACAGGACATTAGGACTAGTGTTTTATAAAATATCACATATTTTATGTACCAACAGTCCAACACAAATATAATACATAAAAAATATAATGCTATTTCATATAAAATTTTATTCATTTATAGTATATTTTAATCTCAGCATACCACCTAATTAAATTTAATATAATTCTCACGGCGTGTATGTGCGTTTCTTGTCTATTTTGAACAAAGAGTTACTGGAAGATGTGACCTCTCCGGTCCAGTCAATATCATCTAGAGACTCGATTACATTAATTAATTAATTAATTAAGTATAAAAGCATTGACCAGTCAAACATGAGAGGAACATCTACACATGTTCCAAACTCGGAAGTTATCGGAATGTTACCAACTTGCGTCAGCCGTGATGTCACCGCCATCTGGAAGTTTTGCATTCAAATTAATACAAGGCAAAATAATAATAATAATAATAATAATAATAATAATAATAATAATAATATAACAAAAACTTGTGTAAAACTGTCCCACGGATCCTTGTTCGTGAGACGGTTCAAATCTTGACAGCGACGGTGTGGAGATTATACTTAGAGTGGACAGATCTCTTATGCGCACTAGTACTTGACCATGTCTATTGAGTCATTGAGTTACCGTAATTTACATTCTTCCAAATGCTCTGTCAGATCGAAATGTGGAGACCTTTGAGATTGAGATTCAATCTTTTGGAAGAAAAAACGAGAGGATAGTGGTTACCTGTAATTCAATACTTATGATATTCATTATGGATGCAATCAATCATGCAAAGTCATTGTGTGTTAATGAGTCCTTGAATTACTTTAATCGATGACGAGCTTATGTTTCGAGGATCACCTTATCTCATATATCTTCTTAATGACTTAATTAACATACTAATTTTTATATCATAATATAATGTACAAATCTTTACACCATATCATGACCACCAAGTCATCAACTAAGCATGCACAAATGATTAACTACATCAAACAATTAATGTAAACATATATTACATTTTTTAACTACGTACGGCACTATATGTATAGCAAAGTAAAGGGAGAGTTATTTGGGCAATCTCTACGAAGTTAATTGGACAACTGATATAGTAACCACAAGTTAAGATTCTAAGTTCAACTCTCTATATGGAGAGGTTTATTGGCTTTCTTAGTTTAAATAAGTTAGTTATGGACAACCTAGGTTAGATTACTTCATTGTGGTCCTTTGTCGGTTAAGGTCTCAATGCGTGTTTTACTCAAAGCGCAACTTCAAGTTGTGGTTATGAGTTTTTCCGTAAATCAAAGTAAATGGAGTGTTGTCCAAGGTTTTTATACCATGGACCAGGGTCTACCATGCATTGTAGATCCTGGTCCAAAAATAATTAACCTTCAAATTCTGTATCTATAGTTGACACATTTTGTACCTATAGTTGATAGTTTCTGTACCTGTAGCTATCATATTATGTGTCAAAAATTATCAAGTTATTTATTTTCATGTACAAAAACTGTTAACTGTAGGTATAAAATGTGTTAACTGAATGTACAAAATTTTTGTATTAGGGTTCACAATGCATTATGAACACTGGTCCATGGGAATTGTTATGTCGTGGAACCGTGTCCACCTCTATGTTCATAATTACTAAACTCTATGTTCATAATTATAAAACTCTATGTTCATAATTTTTGAACTTCATATTTACAATTATTGAAGTCTATATTCATAATTACAGAACTCTATGTTCATAATTATAAAACTCTTGTTCATAATTTTTGATCTTCATATTCACAATTATTAAACTCTATATTCACAATTACAGAACTCTATGTTCATAATTATAGAACTCAATGTTCATAACTCTATTTTCATAATTATAGAACTATATGTTCATAATTTTTTAACTCTATATTTACAATTATGACACTTTTAGAACCGTGTCCACCTTGGAAGGTGGACATGGTTCCAGAGCATAATTTGCTGGTCCATGGTATAACAATTGGTTGTGCAGTGATATTTGGGCGAATTATATCGTGCACCAGGGTGCACAATGCATTATGCACCCTAAGAGTTTATGTGTATTATGTATTATGTTAAGATTACGTGTATTATGTTAGGAGTTTATGTGTATTCTATTATACAATTATGTACCTACGAAACCGGAAATTTTTAGGGTGCAGAATGTAGTGCACGATATAACAATTGTGATATTTGCCTACTTGATTTGTGGGCTTTGGGCTGATATTTGGGCCTCTATTTATTTTGTTAACACTATACTTAAAGATTGACAAGCAGTAGACAAATAAAAAAAATATTAAAATAAAAAAATAAAAAATACAAAAATAAAAAAATAAAAACCAAACTCTTTATTCACCTAGAGTAGATAAGCAGTTAAGCACATTCCCATTCTTTTCCATGTCCAAAGAACATTGCCCCAAACTAAACAACAATTCTTACACGATTTCTATTGTATGTACTTCTATTTTAGTATTTATTTTCTAGTGTTTTAAATAGAGGGTGCCCCCTTCAAAAAAAAAAAAAAAAAAAAAAAAAAAAAAGTAGAGGGTTCCTCACTTTATTTGTCTTGTTTTTCTTTATCTTTGACTCAATATTGTATCTACAGAAATTTAAAGTGCAAGCAAGTCAAACAGAATCTAGTTAGTTAAAGTTTAAATTTAATGCAATTATTAAAAAAAAACAATTGAAATTCAATGTTAACTGAACTGAAAATCTGAAATATAATTTTCTCTTTTTTTACATCATAAAAAAAAAAAATTCTACTACATGTACCCGCAAATCTTACCCCCTCAAGTTTACCTCCTGATGTGGCGGACGTTGATAGGTTATTTTCTTCATGTGAACCTCTCTAAAAGTGTCTATATCAAAATTTTAAGTGTGCAAATAGAAGTTGGGAGTACAGAAATAAAGACATATACGGAGTAATATTTTCCATAAAAAATTATAATAATGATGGGGTTTCGAAGTCTGGGACCAATAAGCAAATGAATGGAGTGCGGCAAATTATTGTGTGGACCATGGTCCACATAGTGTTGTATGGACCATAAAAGAAATTATATTTTTAATATATTAAATGTATATTATTTGTATACTGAAGGTACATATATAAAATAATGTACATTTAGTATTCAAATAATGTACTTTCTCTGAATACAAAGTACACTTTTAATATACTAAAAGTACATTATTTGTGTATTAAATATACATTATTTTATAGTATATAGAGTATGGTTCACACAACTTGTGTGAATCATGGTCCACGCACTAACAAGGCGTTTGGTTCACTGTAATTTCGTTGTAGTTGAATTGCAATTCAATGGATGCCTCAATTACATTGTTTGGTTGGAGAGAATTGCAATTCAATGAATTTGAAAAAGGAAAAACAAATGAAATGCCACTACTACCCTTTGTTGTTATTACTATTATTATTACACAAGGGTATTTTAGGCTTTATACCACTTCTTTCCTTCTCAACTCCAAATTCTATTTCTCCATACCAAACAACGTAATTTGAATTCCTACTTTATTCCCACCTTATTTTTTTCCCACCGAATTACAATTCCCTTCCCCTCTAATTCCTTCCTTCCAACCAAACACCCCACATGATTGATGGAGTGCTATGTTGGGCTTAAGAAGCTAAGGAAAGTGATACAATTTGGGCCTAAGAAGCTCAGTAAGAGAATACATATCAAGATTGTGAAAAGTACAAACTAAAACTAGATATTAGGGGTGTGTAAACTTCGATGAAAGTTTGGTTAACTGATCGAACCGAAGAATTTTGGTTAACCGTTTTTAACCGAAAAACTTCGGTTCGATTAATGGTTAAAGAATTTTTAAAATTTTGATTAACGGTTAATTCGATTTGAAACTACGGTTAACCGAAATTTTAAATATATATATAAATAATTAAATATATATGGATGTTTGAACTTTATAATTTGTGCTTTTATGTTTGTAGTGTTTTTATGGTATTGTGTTTGTATATTTTCTTATGAATTTATTATTATAGGTAATATTTTAATTGAATTTATTATTATCAGTATAATTTTAAAAATTAAAAACTTTATCTTAAAAATCTTCGGTTAACCGACCGATTAATCGAAAAAAATTTCAGTTCGGTTAATTCGGTAATACAAAGTTTGGTTCGGTTAACGGTTAAACCTTTAAAAACTTCAGTTAAAATGGTTCAGTTAACCGATTGCACACCCCTACCAGACAATTATGCCATGGACCCGAGTCAAAATACACAATTTATATATTGAATGTTCACAATTCAAATTGTGAACATTCAATATGTAAATTGTGAACACTCAGTATGTAAATTGTGAACGTTTAGTATATACAAATTGTGAACATTCAATATATAAATTGTGTATTTTTAGACCCGAGTCCACCGAATAATTTGCCACTAAAACCTATAGGCTGGAGCTGATGAGTATTTGCGCAATCCTTATACCATGGACTAGGGTTCATAGTACATTGTGGACACTGGTGTATGTGAATGTGTCTTTATGTTGTGAGTTTTTGTATCTATGTGGTGTAATTGTGTATAACAAGTGCAAAATTTAAAATTGTTTAAGGAGATATTTGTATTTTGTTGAATTTGGTGATCCAATTACATTTTTGTGTATAATTCGATTTTCTTTTTATTTATTTTTTTCAAAAAAATTATTGTGACAAAAAAACAAATAATGAACAACCATTGAAGTGAAAGCTCAACAAACCCAAAGGGTCAAATGATAAGCCAAACACAATAATGTAACGTATACGCTTTTCCCTCTGCATGCACTCTCCTTACGTCAGCTCAATGTATTATAACAAGTTCCTTAAAAGAAATGATATACTTTTATCTATTTATCTTTAATCAGTATTTTAAAATATTTTAATTTAAAATGTTTAATTACGATTATTGAAATAAATAATACTTAATATGTAATTTATAAATATCTAACTGGCCTTTTCCCATTCTTACGTAATACTGTAAATATATAATATATTAGATAAATATAATTTACTATAATATAATAAGATATTGTTATAATACTAAAATAATACATGTTTACAACTGTGTGGAATATTGGGTCTCAATTTAGACCAATATGACCAACACCCATCCCAATGGAGTCTATGCATAGAATATTTCCAGTATAACTTTCTTCTTTTTGTGTAATTTGTGAGTTAGTACACAAAAACAAATTATGTAATATATATTTTTAATTAGTGATTATTGATTTTTCTCATCATCTTAAAAATAAATATACTATTATAAAGCAATCCAAACTTAGTAGTACAAATCTATTAGACATTTTTAAGCAACGCCATTAATAATATTCAATGTCACACATAAAGCGGTGCCCATAGTTGGCACAATAGACGAGCCCAGGGCATAGGGGCTTATGTAATGCTTACGTGTGAAATTCAATTTAAAATATTCATATTGAAACATTGCATTATAACTTTATTTGTAGGTAATTATATTTGAGCTTAGTCACTAAATATTAAATACTATACATGATTACATATTATTTTATTTCCAAATAGTACATTTGTAAGATATACATAGTTATACTAATATTTATAATTTTACTAAACATGTGAATATGAATGGTCATTTTCTCTAAATGTGACATGGAACCTAATTTTTCATCTCAACAACAAGATAGGAACATTGTGAAAAATCG